AAAGAGCAGCAAGACAGCAGCTGAGGGCAAGCAACGTCGAAGACGGAAGGAGGGAAAATTACTTACCCAAGGCAAGGTGCAAAAACACAAAGGAGAGAGGCAGGGAGGGAGGGAATAAGGAAGGGAGAGAGGGAGGGAGGGAGGGAGGGAGGGAGGGAGAATGGAAAGAGCAGGGGAGCAAAAAGAGCGTTGATTGGTCTGCCATAATCCTGTTGGTTCATTGTGTGTACAAGTACAAGAGCAGAAAACAACCTCGCCCCTCCTGTCATGCGCATGTCCAACCCTTCGAAACAGTTCCGACCCCGCAAGGCTCACAGCGATCGCTGTCCAGCAACGAGTTGTACTGGCCCGGCGGGCATGGCTTGCAAGTGGAGGTGGAGATGGAGGAGGAGGAGGAGGAGGAGGAGGAGGAGGAGGAGGAAGAGATGGTGCTGGTGATGGTGGTGGTGGTCGAGGAGTCTCTGTAGAAGCCGACGTCGCAGTGAGGGCAGGAGGTAGAGTTCGGAGTGAAGTTGATGTATCCTTGAGGACAAGGCGAGCACCAGGCTCGCGTGTCCCAGTCAGTGCTGAAGGTCCCGGTGGGGCATGGCGTACAGAGGCCATGAAGGGGGAGGAAGGAGCCGGGGGGGCAGGAGGACGCTGAAGTATGGGGAGCTAAGAAGAGCAGGAAGAGGAGGGGGCCGAGGAGGAGCCAACGATCCCTTAAGTTGCTGATCATGTTTGAAACCTCGACCTAGTCGGATGGCCTGGTGAAGGAAACAGGTCAGGCGCTGGTGCAGAGCAGGCGGAAAGATGAGCTCATCAAGTCCTAACGCATGCAAAACCTCCGCATTACCTTCTCTCATCTCACTACCATCTCTTGATCTTCAAAGACATCTCGTCCTGCACAGCTCGGCCGCGCTTCTTCATTCCTCCTCTCTCCTTGACCCCCCCTGCCTCCCCATTCTTTGGTGCTAAGTCCACCCTCTCCTCTCCTCTCCTCTCCTCTCCCTCTCCGTCCTCCTTCCTCTTCTACACACCCTCCCCAACCTTCCACCCCCCTCCTCCACACTCAATCACACCCATCTCCCCCCTCCTCGTCCTCGTCCTCCTCGTCCTCGTCCTCCTCGTCCTAGTCCTCCTCCTCCTCCTCGTCCTCGTCCTCGTCCTTGTCCTCGTCCTCCTCGTCCTCGTTGCTTCCCGCTCCTTCCCTTGACCATTGACTGCAGAATGACAAGCTCCTTGATTCACAATAGGGGGGTAGGGGTATTCTTTTGGTCTGCCATTACGGGGTAGTTTGCCTGAAAATGTATGGGTGAGAGTTTGTCAAGAGAGAGAAGGGGGTGGGGGTGGGCAGCCAGTAACTGGCCACAGGATAATGAGCGTTGACGAAATGAGCAGGCAGAGAGGACAAAGGACAGGACAGGACAGGACAGGACAGGACAGGACAGGACAGGACAGGACAGTACAGTACAGTAGAAGAGAGGGGAGGGCAGAGTACAGAGGAGAAGGGAAAAGCAGCTGATAGAGGTAGAAGAGATGGTCTGTGGCCTTTACTCAGGTCTGTGGAGGAGGAAAAGTGAAACAAGTAGAATCGACTTGTCAGAACAACTCTAATGTTATGCTGGCAGTCCTTGATGCGGATCATCGAGAAAATCAGCAGAGTCCCAGCATGAGCAGGTGAAGCATGGGGGCGAAACCAGGGAAGTATCAGGGGGAGCTGAAGAACGGGAAGCGCCATGGCTGGGGCCTATGCGCGTTTTCAGATCGGAGCTACTACGAAGGAGAGTGGGCCAACGACAAGATCGATGGGGAGGGAAGGTACGTCCGTCCTGATGGCTCGACGTACGAGGGCTTCTGGGAGAGCAACCTGCAGAATGGCTTCGGGAGGCTGATCATGGCGAACGGAGACGTATACGAGGGTCACTTCAGGGATGGGAGGATAGACGGATACGGGACGTACTACTACAAGAACGGGAGTATCTACGACGGGGAGTTCATGGACGACGAGGCGCATGGGGTCGGGACGTTCAAGGGGGTCAACGGAGAGTTCTACCAGGGAGAGTGGCAGGTAGACAAGATGCACGGGGTGGGAGTGTACAAGTTCGTAGGAGGGGCCAAGTACCGGGGAGAGTTCAAGTTCGGCAAGATGGATGGGTACGGAGTGTACGAGATCATGGAGAGAGGAGGGTTCGTGGGCAAGTACGAGGGGCAGTTCCTAGGAGGAAAGATGGACGGGCTCGGGTTGTACTTCTGGCCGGAGGGAGACATCTTCATGGGGGAGTATGCGCAGGACAAGAGGTTCGGGTATGGAGTGTACACGTCGTCGAGGGGGGCGGTGTTCAAGGGAGAGTACAGGGGGGGGGAGAGGCATGGGTGGGGAGAGTTCGTGACGTCGAGCGGGGATATCTATGAGGGGCAGTGGAGGAACGACCAGCGGCACGGCAAGGGGGTGGTTACCCTTGCGGAGGCTGACCCCGAGCTGCTGAAGAACGCGCAGAGGGAGGCGGATCAGAGAAAGTGGGCCCAGGTCTGGTTCAAGGACTCCCCAGCTGTACCGGTCGACTCAGCTGGGAGGGAGCTGGAGATCGATCCGACGAGGACGTTCACGGGGTACTGGAACGAGGGGAAGGTGAAGGCAAAGAGGCCGTATAGGTACGACGACTGGGCTGAGATCCAGGCAAACAGCTCGCTTGCGGCGGAGCATGCAGGAAGGGCGGTGGAGGAGGCGCAGAAGGCAGTGGCGCTGGCGAGGAAGGCGTGTGAGTTTGGGGAGGATGCGGCGAAGAGGACGGTCAAGAAGATGCAGGTGGAGATGGAGCCGAAGCGCGCCTACTTCCTTCGCTTCCAGCCCGGGGCCAGCAGGAGGGACTTCGAGGACAAGCACTGGTGCGACTGGGCCCGGAGATCACAAGGAACACCTTCCTGGTGATGCTGGGAAGGTCGCAGGCTGGGCAGATCGAGGCGACGTCGCCGGAGGTCTCCTGGATGGCGGCGATCGCGCGGCAGGGGGACGAGCAGGAGGAGGGAGTCAAGGGTCTGATCAGCGTGTCTGTGTTCGCATGGATAGCGAGAGCGAGTCGGAAGGAGAGGAGGGAGGGACCCTGGCATGTCCAGAAGCCGCACATAGGAGGGACCCACGGGATAGACCCTCTGCGGCAGAGAGGGGCTCCTTTGCAGTTGCAGGAGGCTAGCAGGGCGCAGGGAGAGGAGAGGAGGGAGGAGAGGAAGGCTCTGAAGCTGGACGAGGACGTCGTGGTTGCCAACCTGAGCGATGGGAAGGTGCGGGAGGTGATGAAGAAGTTCCAGGAGGAAGGCGATCCAGCCAAGCAAAGGATGCAGCAGCATGCCTCCTCCCTCGCCCGCCCTCCTCGTCCCCGCGGTCAGCCCGCCGCCTTCAACTCGCTTAGGGTTCATGCGGCAGACAAGGAGGGGAGCAGCTTCGACGGCGTGATTGCTGGTCACATCCAAGGGCTGCAGACTGTCGCGCCGCTCGCTCCTGCTCCTCCTCCTCACAAGAAGAGCCTCCAGGAGCATGCTGACCCGCGCTCTGCTTCCCGTCATTCGCGACTGAGCGCTCCTCGATGGGCGGGCGGCGCTCCGATGCCGCCGAGCTCAGAGATCATGGCGAAGATGCGGAAAAACGTTTGAGGAGGAGGAGGAGGACGAGCAAGAGCTGTTCGAGCAATTATGGAGGGGGAGGGTTGTGAAGTGATAATGATTAGAAGTCAGTGAGTTTTTCTTTTCTTTGCTATCATCCCTTTGCGTCTCTTCCTTTCATCTTCTTCCTCTTATCCTGCAGACTTAAATGTCAAACGTCTCCCTCCCCCTCCCCCTCCCTCTCCTCCTCCGTCCTCACTTCACTCCTGCCCCTGCCCCTGCCCAATCCACTTCCTTCGTCCCCCCCCGCCCTTCCCGTCCTCGTCCGCGTCTCCTCCTGCTGCTCTTCCTCGTGCTGCTCCTCTTGCCGCCTCTCCTGCATCTTCCTCTAGATTTCCTTCTCACCTCTTCCTCGTTCTCCATCAGGGAGGCCGCCGGCGGGCGGAGGGGGAAGGAGAGCAGCAGCGTCGCTCCCTCCACCAGCGATCGCTTGACCTCTGCGATCGGAAGGAGGACGCGGAGAAGGTGCTGATGACCTGCGGTAGCTGAGGGAGCAGCAGGAGAGTGTCATCCTCTCTAACCTGACGCTCCTCCGAATAGGAACTCCATAGGATCCGAAACTGTGATATCCACTCCATGTTAGACACCCACAGGAGACAGAGGGAGAGGAAATGAAAGAAGGAGGCGGGAGGAAAAAGCAGAGGGGAGGGAGGAGGGGTACATTCAGTAGTGCAGGGAGAGAAGGAGAGGAGAGGACGACGAGTGAAGCAGGAGAACAGGCAAGCAGGTGGTAGAGAGAGGAGCAGCAAGTGAAAAGAGGGGAGGTGAGAAGGAGGAGGAGACGGTGGTGGCGGTTGAGGAAGTGGAAGCAGAAAAAAAGGAGAAGGTGGCAACGGCAGGGGAGGAGGAAGGTGATAGAGGAGGAGGAAGGTGGTAGTGGTAGAGGAGGAGGAAGGTGGTAGTGGTAGAGGAGGAGGAAGGTGGTAGTAGTAGAGGAGTATAGATCACTTGAAGGGACGCGGATTCGTTTCATCCTTGACTTGCAGGAGAAATTCGTTGAGACTTCCCGCATGACAAAGGACTGCGACCAGCGTGACATGAGCTGAGAACCGGCGAGGAGGGCAGGGGAGGAAAACAACATGGAGGAGGAGGACAGGAGCTGGCGGGGAAGGAGCAGGGAGGCGAGAATTCTTACTTTGATCTCTTCATCTGGAAATATTTCAACTCCAGAAGGCTGATAATTCATCCAGACGTTCGCCAGGAATGTTATCCTCCTCTATCCTCTTCGTCAGTGAACCGCTCGTTCATTCCCCCTCCTCCTTCTCTTCCCCCTCCACTCCCTCTTACTTCTCCTCCACCTCCTGCCCCTCCCTGTCCTCCTCTTACCTTTCCCGTCGCCAAAGGAGCGAGCGAGGACGGAGCTCCATGGAGCCATCGGCCATCAAAACAGATGTGCTTGCAGGTCCTGCAGGAGAAGCCAGTGAGGAGCAAGAGAGAGCGGGAGAACATCAGGACTGAAAGAGCAGAGCGAGGAGAGGAAGCGACGCAGTGATGTTCATCGAACGGGATGTTGGAGGGAGGACGAAGTGTGGTGGGAGGGCAAGCAGAGGGCAAGGAAGGAAAGGAGTGCAATTTGGAAGCAATGATGATGATGAGGAGGAGGACGAGGAGGAGGTGGTGGCGGTGGGAAGAACCTTGGAGCAGACAGCCATCCTTCACTGATGTTGCCGTAGGCTGACAGCATCTCGTCGTATACCACAGACGATTGCTTCCTCAGTATCATAGTCGGTGCTCCCTCGTCGCTCAAGTACGTCACCGTGCTCAGCTGGGGGTGGACGTTCAAACCTGCAGTCTACTGTAAGGAGAAGACTGAAGGTGGCGGAGGAGGAGGTGGTGGTAGCGGCGGAGGAGGTGGCGGAGGAGGGGAAGGACGAGGAGGAGGAGAAGGAGGAGAAGGAGGTGGTGGTGGCAGAGGTGGTGGCGGAGGAGGTGGCAGAAGAGGAAACAGGGGTGCAGGAAAAAGGGCAGAGAGCTGGATAGATTGATAGCAAGGACGGGCCGCTGTAGGAGGATGTGAGTGGTGACGGCGGTGAGATCGAGATCTAGAGCAGCTCCTCCTCCTCCTCCTCCTCCTCCTCCTCCTCCTCCTCCTCCTCCTACCCTGACTGTCCACCAAATCCTCGTCCTTGTCCCAGTGCATTCCGATGTCTTCCTTGCTGTCTCCTGTTGGTCGCCGCACCTGCTCCGATGGTTTTACATTCTAGGGAGGAAGGGAAGGGAGGTTTGTTTCCTGAACCCACCACTCCACCCCGCTCCTCTCTTGATCGAACTTGGCTCTCCTGGTATGGTGCCTGAAGATCTCTAGCGCAAGCTGTTCCAGCGCACATCTCGGTTGGAACCCGCAAGGGCACCAGAAGGATCTGGGGCCAAGTGAGGAAGGGGGGGGAAAGAGATAAGGCGAACACAAGGCAGAGGAGGGAGATACAGATCGCATGGAGCAGGGCGATGTTTTGAGAGAAAGAAGGGGACGTTTTCTTGAAAGAAGAAGAGGATGTTGTTTTTGAGAGAAGACGATGTTTTGGCAGTAGAAGAGGAATAGAAAGGATACAAAACAAGACAACGGTCCTTCGCTCGCAAAAAACTCACTTTCCGCCATCGATGAAGGCTGTTTCACAGTCTCCGAGAAATTTCTCCAGAGTTTCGCAGGTGAAAGAGAGAATATCCGACCAGCTCTGAACCTCTGAGTTGAGACGCCCTTCATGATATATCTTCCCTGTAGCATCTAACTCTACCTCCTCTTCCTCCTCCCCTTCCTCCTCCTCGTCGCTGATTCTCACCTCCTCGTCGCTGATTTCCTGACAGGACTGCGCATTTTTTTCATTGCGAGATTCCTTCTCCACCGCTTTAGACCCTGTCCTGCTCTTTCCTTTAAGCACACGTTCTCCTTTCTTTGCTCGTCTCTGTCTTAATCCTCCCTGCTCCTCCTGCTCCTGCTTCTCCCGCTGCTCCTCCTGCTCCTCCTCCCTTCCCTTACGCTTTCCATTCTTTCGCACCATGATGCGTCCCGACAAAATCCCGACTTGATAGGTATTGGAACAACGGAAACAGATCGCAGTAACGGCTGCAATTGGTCGGGCATGGCGGTGCGTTGCCGGCTTGGGTGCGGGGCGATGGTGGAGAAGGAGGAGGAGGAGGCGCACATGCGAGGCTCGTGCCCTGAGAGGAAGGAGAAGTGCGAGTGCGAGCTCATGGTGAGGGCGAGGGAGTGGCGGCGGCACCGGATGCTCTTCTGCGAAATGAGGATAGTCGAGTGCAAGTTCGCGCCAAGGTGCAGGTGGAAGGGAGCAGCGAGGGAGCTGGGGCTGCACTTGGACGACAGGGTGTCTAGTGAGGAGAAGGAGAGGAGGGTCAAGGGCGACCCTTTCATCGAGTGCCTCGAGCGGCCTTACACCTGCTGGCATCCCCCGTTGAAGACGCCGTTCCACACACTGGAGGGGGAGGGTTACAAGCTGCGGTGGGCAGGTTGTGGGAAGGAGATTCGGTTCGGGGACAGGAAGAGGCATGAAGAGGAAGAATGTCCCATGAGGAGAGTTGAGTGCAAGTTAGGATGCGGTGAGATCGTCATCGGGTACGCGGTTCAAGGACACTATGACGGCAAGGATGCAGCGCAATGTAGAAATACGCAAGACTGGGTGAACAGCGGGTGCCCTTTGCGCACGTTGGAGTGTAAATATGTGTTTGAAGACGAGGAGGCCTTGATTCGAGAGGGAGGGGAGAAGCAGATTGAGGTCAAGCAGGAGAAGGAGGAGAACGGGAGAGAGAAGGAGAACGGGAAGGAGAAGGAGAACGGGAAAAAGGAGGAGAAGAGCAAAGCAAAGGGGAGGGAGGAGGAGGAGGAAAGAATCCAAGAGACGGAAGGGGCAGGAAAGGCGGAAGAAGGCTTTCTCAAGAAGAGCGTGGTGGAGCAAGGGTGTGATATAAGAGTACAGGTGGGGCAGCAGAAGCATCGCTGATACGTGCCTTGACGCCGTTGGCAGGCAAAGGATCTGCTAGAGCATCAGGAGGACGACTGTGCGGAGCGATACGTCAACTGCAGACATGAGTGCGGGAAGATAGTGAAGCGAAGGATGATGGCGTTACATGAAGATCAAGATCATCACATTCAGCATGACTTGTAACGTACAACACTCTTTTACTCCTCGGTCTTAGTACTTGTCAGACATCTCGCAGCGGGAGACGGGAACTTCGAACTGGCAAGCTGACAGATGATCGTTGGTTCTGCTGAGCTGAAGGTTCATGTCCAGGTGAAGGACTATGTGGAAGGGAGACAGGGAGCGCGGAGGTTTCCGATTTCTTCCGGTAAGCACGAGATGCGATGAGAAACTGCGATGTGGAGACTGATTTCTACTCATCTCTAATCATCTCTACTGACCTCTACTGACCTCTACTGACCTCTATTGACCTCTAATGATCACTTCAACTCACAGTGGACGAGGACGGGAACAACTGCCTGCATTATGCAGTGAGAGGAGGGCACGATCAGGTGGTCAAGTACCTGCTGGAGCAGCGGTCCGAGACTAACCTCTTTCTCCCCTTGTCACCTCCTGACCAATGTCAGCAGCGCGTTCGTCGACCAAGTCGATTCTGCCGGCTGCTCACCGCTCATCGAAGCCTCGGTGTGAAGTTGTGGAACGAACTAGGATCAACATGTTTGCGATCATTGAGATGCTGGAGATGTTCAAAGTGCTTGACAATGATGCTGTTTGAACGCTTCTTTGCTGTTTGAACGCTTCTTTGCTGTTTGAACGCTTCTTTGCTGTTGAACGCTTCTTTGTCGTCTCACAGACATTGTTTTCCTTTGCTTTGCCTGCTCCTCAACACTCGTTCTTGGATGACTGCACAATGCAGAAATTCGGGCACGTCAGCATAATGAAGAGGCTCATCGCAGCTAAGGCAGACATGAACCTCCAGGTGCCCGAGCTCTCTCGCTCTCCTCCTGCTCCTGACGCTGCCGCAGGATAAAGTGCGGGGATGGACTGCATTACATTGGGCTGCTTTCAACTCCAACTCGGGAGGGGCTCAGGTTGCATCAGTTAGGAGGAGGAGGAGGAGGAGGAGGAGGAGGAGGAGGAGGAGGAGGAGGAGGAGGAGGAAGAGGGTGCTGAGTTTTCCTCTCAAACTCGGTAGCTCCTGCTGCAGGCCAGGGCAGCCACCAGCATCATGTAGCTCAAGAGCCCGTCGGCTGCTGCTGCTCACTGTTGACCCCAGGGACTCGCGGCGGGGAGACACGCCCTTGCATGTCGCGCTCGTTGCTCAACAGGAAGGTGAGAGCTGGTGGTGGTGAGCTGGGAGAAGGATTGGGGGGCACCGACTCCAGCTGAGCTCGAGCTGTTCAGAGATCGCTGGCCTTCTCCTATCCTACGGGGCTGATGTGAACGCGCGCAACAAGCGGCGGGTCAACACGTTCTATCACACTTTCGACAAGAAGACAGGGAAGCCCAAGGTAAGACAATCGAATCCCCTCCGCTCTTTGGACAATTGTCTCCCTCCGCTCCTTTCACGCACCGCGCAGAACGTCCGTCGAGGAGATCTGGCCTACGACTTCGCCCGAGGAGACGAGATGAGGAGTGCGGTCAAACCTTCGTGAGCACGAGACGCCTGCTGCTCGTCGTCTTGAGACGCTCACTGCCTTCAGGTTGGACGGTGAGCTGGCTGAGATCAGCAAATCCGTCGGGCTAGACCCGCTCTATGGCACACAACTCAACACGGTCAACGAGAAAAGATCTCTCTCCCCTGTTAAGGACAGGTTGCCTCATGTTCTGCCAGTACTCTCCTCCTCCGTCCTCTTTCACATATCCTCTCTTAGTCCCCCTCCTCACCTGATCCCTCCTTGAACCTCTCCCACCTCCTATCGCTTCACTCTCCTCCCTCTCTGCACTCCTCCCTGTTACCTCCACTTTCTCCTCCTCTCCACCCTACTCACCTCGTCCTCCCTGCATCCTTCTCCCTGCCTCCCTCCTCCTTCCCTCCTCCTCCTTCTCTCCTTCTCCAGATTCCTTCTGGTCCTGTTGAGCCTTACCCGCAGGTCGCAAGGGGAAGCGTCTCCTCACCGCCGAAGATCGAAATCGCCAGACTCGTTTGTCAAGTTCCAGCCATCGGTCAACTCCATGGCAAGGCCGGAGAGGGGGGCAGGAGGAGGGAGACTGAGAGACTGAGAGAGCAAGGGGGGAAGCTACGGGATTGAGAGAAGAGAGGAGGGCAAGAGGAGGAGGACGAAGAGTCGACAAAGAAATTTGAAAGTCCCTTCTCTCAATTTCCATAATGCTGCGCAACCCGAATAGAATTTCATAGAAAGTACAATCCTTGAACTTTTAGAACAGAGTGCATACAATCCCAATCTACATGTTCTCACAACCAAACTCACAATCTTCGCACAACCTCACACAAACTTGTCTTCCTCCTTCTTCATCTCCTAATGTCATATTCTTGTCATATTCCCCTTCATCTTATGTCATCTTCTTATCATCTGCTTCACTTCCTGTGTCATATTCTTGTCATATTCTTCTTCATCGTCACGTCAGCTTCTTATCATCTTCTTCTCCTAGGACCTCATGGTACATTCTTTTCATCTTGTCATTTTTCCATCACATTCTTCCACCTTCCGTTTCTCCATAGTCATTTCAAGAGCCTCAACCTTGGGACTTTCTCCCCCCACCCCCACCCCCCTCCGTCTCTGCCCCTTTCGCCCTCCATCCCCGAAGGTGTTCACTCCTCCACCCCCCACCCCCCAACATGACCCAATATGCTTGGTGTTGACACTCCTGCAATAATGTACGGGGAGCCCTTACCCTCTACTACCCCCTATTTTACTACCCCACCCCATCTACTCTACACAGTGTTCCAAAACAAGGACCCCAGCACATGAACTTGACCATAAAGGACCGGTAGTACCTCCGTTTGACCTGATCAACACTCAATGGCGGGGTTGGGTGCGACAGGGGAGGAGAAGAATGGGGGAGGGACGAAGGAGGGAGAGGCGAGGGAGGAGGAGGGCAAGAAAGAAAGCACCAAGGACAAGGAGCAGAAGATCCCTCAAGCCCCCGTCAGCAAGAGCAAGCAAGCTCAACTTGAGGTGGAGACAACGGTACACAACTTGCAGGCGACCCTCGAGCATCTGAGGGGACGTTGGGAGGTAATCATGGACGCTCGGCATGAACGTGAGAGAGTGACGGGACGTTCTTGGCAGATTCGAAAGGAAGAGATCGAGTGGGGAAGGTGTGAGGAGAATGATCCCATGGGACTTGTGCAGTAGATGACGCAAAGTCAGGTACCTCAGTCAAGGGGCAAACGCAGTTGTTCACATCTGCACCATCCGTGGGACGGTAGGGGCGAGTCAGAACTGTCGATCCTCTGACATTCTTCCTCAGACAACCTGCGTGGGCAAGAAGATGAAGAATAACATGAAGGCTGGGTGCCAAGTTCGCGCCTGCTGTAGTCGAGTCTGCTCGCTCATGGTCTTGTTGCAGGCATACAAGGACTTGATGATGGAGATGGACGTGCTTGCTTCGGTATGTCTTGCACTCCTGCTGAGAGGGAGAGGGACGAAGACAGAGGGAGGGAGGGAGGGGGAGGGACAGGGAGGAAGGGAGGGAGGCAGGGAGAGGAGGAGTGAGGGAGGGAAAGGTGGAGTGAGTGAGTGAGTGAGTGAGTGAGTGACAGCAAACTTCAGATCCCACATCATCCCAACGTGGTTCAGTTCCTCGGAGCTTGCATCGAAGTACAAGTCTCGTGGCTGTGACTGTTGTGCTGACATGTTGAGCTGCAGGACATTGAAAACCCTGTGATGTTCGAGGAGTACGTCAACGGCCCAACGCTTGAGTACTTCCTGCAGTTCAGAGGAGGGGATCCCCTGCCGCGCAGGTCGATCTTCGGCTGGAGCCTTGACCTGCTCCGGGCCCTCGACTTTCTGCATGGCCGAAACCCAATGATTATCCATCGGGACGTGAAACCTGCCAACCTGATCTTGAGCAAGGACCTCAATATTATGAAGCTCATGGACTTCGGCATGAGCAAGGCCGTGTCCTTGTCCGAGCGTGAAACTTCGATTCACAGCGGGTGGGCCCTATCTCCTCCTCCTGCTCCTGCTCCTGCTCCTTGTGCTCCTACTCCTGTTCCTCCTGCTCCTGCTCTCCTTGCTTCTGCTCCTCCTGCTCCTGCTTCTCATCCTCATCCTCATCCTCATCCTCCTTTTCCTCCTCCAGTGCTCTTGCCTGAACGATCTTATCAGCTTTACCGGGACCCCGCTCTACATGGCGCCAGAGGTCATGCTGACGACTGTGGGCCACTACACCGAGAAGGCAGACATCTACAGCGCTTCCTTCGTCATGTGGTACATCGCCGTTGGCAAGCGGCCGACCTCCCTCTCGCCCGACAAGGTGGAGGAGGAAGAGAGGAGGTTGAGAGGAAGAAGAGGAGATGAGCAATAGTAGGAAGAGGGGGAGGGGGGGGATGTGGGCGGAGAGACGGTCAAGAGGAGGAGGACGAGGAGGACGAGGAGGACGAGGAGGACGAGGAGGACGAGGAGGACGAAGGGAGGAGGAGGACGAAGGGAGGAGGAGGAGGAGGACGAAGGGAGGAGAGTTGGTTGCATGCTGATCGCTCCCTAGATTCACGAGCGACCGCCTACCGACCCAGTGAAATGGCCTGAGTTCAGCCAGCTCCTCCAGCTTATGTGGCAGCACGAGGCTGAGCAGAGACCCTCGGCCAAGGCAAGAGGCTCTAGAGCTGAGAGCTCGATTCCTGACAGGCTGACAGGACTGCCTCGTCATGCTGGACCAGTTCAAGACGAAGCCGGACATCAGGTGAACTCGTGGTGGTGGTGGAGGAGGAGAAGGAGGAGGAGGAGGAAGAGGAGGAGGAGGAGGAGGAGGAAGCATGAGGAGTTGGTGGAGGAGGAGGAGAAGGAGGAGGAGGAGGGAGGAGGGAGAGCGATATCTTATACCTGAGTGCAGCAAATCCGTCAGTCCAAACATACAATGCTCATGTCAGATCCTTTGAAAACAGGATCCATCGCCATAACCTCTTATAGCTGGTTGGTATTTTTGATCGTCGTGGACAGTGGACGAGTAGACGCTCGAAGCGAAGAGACTAAGATCAAAACAGTTGATTCTTGTACTGGAGGCTAGAGACTGCTTCAGAGGTGTACATAACAATAGACAAATCTTGCCACTCAGTTTAGGTGTCAAGTCGTCCTTCTTAGAACTTTCTCACCGATGCTGACGTGAGAGAGTGAAGGTGCAAATTAACATGTCACGATGTGTTTAATAAAGTACATCAAGCCAATTAAGCCTGTCCAGACATAATCGTCTCCCCGGTTCCCATGGGCTGTGCTGGCGCTGGGACGGGCTGCATGTTCACCATGTTGATTTCCTGGGGTTGCCCCTGCTCCGCATCAGCCTGCAGCAGCATCGTCAGCAATGGCCTCGGACAACCCTGTCCTCTCCCACCTGCTTGCCGTGGTAGGAGAACACATCCTTCCACTCCGTTGCCCCGTGCACAGAGTACTTGTGCTGACCGTGCATCGAAACTTGGGTGATGGGTTGATCTGATTCAAGGTGAGACCGTGAACGAGGTTGGAAGAGTAAAGGAATGAGGACGAGGAAAGAGTGGGAGAGGAGGAGGACGAGGAGAGGAAGGAAGAAGACGAGAGGAGGAGAGCAAAAAGAGTGTCTGTACCTGGAACATGTCGCTTGCCTCCCATCAGAACATCATAAATGTCCTGTCGCACCTCCCAGATGGGATAGATGACGGTAATGATAGCAGCCACGTGTCCCTGTGCAAGGAGTTAGAGAAGAGGAGGACGAGGACGAGGAAAGACGGAGAGGAGTGAAGGACGAAGAGAAGAAAAGAAGGGGGGGAAGAGAGATGGAGGGGAGGGGAATGACGGAGGACAGCTGACGTACCCAGATGAAAGCGATTGCGACCCAGAACCCAAAGTAGCTCTTGGTGAACTCACGCGCGGGAAGGGCGAGGATGGGCCAGATGAGAATCAGAACAATCGAGAGAGATCCTCCGTAGACGGAGGTATTCCAAAGAGCCCTGTCCATAGCCTGTAGGGAGTGAGCAACGATGGGGAAGAGCAGGTAGTAGTCTTACGGCAACGCCGTCTTCACCATCGTCGTCGAGCTTCAAGCCAGTAGCGTGCTCTCCGGCGTCCAACACAACAACCTATCTCACGCATAAGAACAAGACAAGCTCAACAGAGAGGCGCTGAGAAGAAGAGAGCAACACGAGGGAGGATGAAGAGACGAGGAGAGACGTGTAAGGGGAGAAGGTTGGGGGGAGCGGCAAAGGCAAAGGAGGAGAGCATCTGAACTCACCCCGTCGGTCTCGGCTCTGAGCTTAGACCAGTCGTAGTTCTGAGGGGCCATGAGAGAGATGGGAATGCCGACCATGGGAGAGATGAAGAGAGCCATCAGGTTGCCTCCCAAGAAGGCGTAGTCGCTGCCCATGTTGGCCACGTTGACCTCGCCGTAGTAGGTGTCGGCGATCACCAGCCAGGTGATCATGGCAGCGGCAAGACCAGCAAAGGCACCGCAGATGGCACCAGTGGCAGAGCAGTCCTTCCAAGTGAGGCAGGCGGCGAGAGGGAACACAGCAGAGCCGATGAAGTTGCCCATAGCCACGTAAACCCAGCCAAGGCCAATCTCCAGCTCGAACAGGATGATGGCGATGACACCGGAGAAGATACCCCAGCCGAGGACAGCGACACGAGAGACGAAGATGATGTCGGTGCCGGAGGCCTGAGGTCTGAAGTACCTCTTGTACACGTCGTAGGCAAAGAGGGAAGCAACGGCGAGCTGCTCGGAGTTTGCGGTGGATGTCACGGCCAAGAAGAGCTGGAGAACGATCAAGAAGGCTCCTCCCTGTCCCATGACGTGCAGGGCAACAGCTGGAGGAACAAGGCCAGAGCCAGCCTCGCTCATGGTAATCGGAAGATCAAGAGCCCTGGCAGCAAGGCCGAGGGTGGTGGCCATACTGAAAGGGATGGCGAACCAGGCCATGCCTCCAAGCATGTAGCCCTTCCAGGTAGCAGAGGGCTTGCAAGCGACGGCTCCCTGCCAGTAGGACTGGTCGACGAACACGGTGCCGAAGTTTCCGATGATGTTGGCGATACCGAAGATGAGACCGCCGCGAGACCAAATGGTGAGGGGGCTGCCGTGCAGGTTGCCCGTGATGGGGTTCTTGAGGGTGATGGCCTTGAGATTCTCCCACACCTTGTCGGTCGATCCGAGGTCGGAGGGTCCAGCGTAGATCTTCCACATGAAGATGAGGAGGGCGAAATAGATGATGGAAGTGTGGGACCAGGAGGCGTAGTATGTTCCTACAAGCTAGTCAGATGCTGCAGCACTGGAAATGATGAATAAGACAGGAGAAGGTAAGGAAGTGGAGCAGAACAGCAGCAGGATAGAACAAGGTCTCACCCTTAAGACCACCGAAGGCAGTGTATCCAACAGTGCTGAGAGGAATGATGAAGCAAGCAGCGTACGTGTTGACTCCAGTCAGGGCGTTGATAACCGCGGAACCACCAAGAATCAACATAGCCTGAGAGAGTGAGAGTAAGCAGAGAGGAGACAAGCGCAAGGCACTCGTACCGTCACGATAAGGTTGGTGAGAAGGCAGAAGAACAGGAAGGTGAGATGTGCGGCAGTTCCCCAACGCACAAGCACGATCTCGAGGATGGTGTGGATAGCCGGACACTTTCTCTTGATCTCAATGGCGAGAATAGCGAAGAGAATGATCTGAATGGTGGCTCCAGAGGCATACCTATGAGCCTGTAAGCAGCTGTATGTGCTCCCTGACAAGGCTTACCAGAAGGGTCCAGACACACCATACTGAAAGGCTACGTTACTGGACTGAAGGAGAGTAGCAGCCCAAGTCCACTTGCTAACAACGTCGGAGGCAGTGAGACCGGCAGTGATGGTTCTGCCAGCAGAGGTGAAGTGCTCGGAGGTGGCTGACTCGGACTCCATCCCGCGGTTTCCAATCCACACCATGATCGAGGTAAGAATAGCAAAGATCGTTCCGAGACCGAGGATGATGAACCATCCCAGCCCTGCAACCAGTCAACATCGCTAGATGCTGTCAACAGTACCTCACCTTCTGGTAGCGCTGGCTTGCCACCGAAGAAGGAGCAGCGGCCGTCATAGGTGGCACCGTTGTATGACACGTAGCCGAAGGAATTGCGCCATGCGCTCTCGCCATTGACACACGCGCCATCAGGCGTCAAGCCAATCTGGGTCTGCGAGACAAGTCAGACGACAAGGTCGCAGTGGTGCACAGAGACACGAGAAAACGTTCTGCTCACAATCTCGAAACCATAACATCACAAACAATCATCATGTCAAACCCACCCTGTCTCAGCTCCTCCTAGTCCTCGCTGTTCACCTTCTACAACACGTACATTTCACACAAGCGCTGTCTCCTTCCTTCCCCTTGTCATCGTCCTCCCATCCCAACCATCTCCATCGCGTGAATCGCGGCATAGCCTCGTCTCACCGGGTCGATGTACGGTATCGTCATCCTCCTCCTCCTTGCCCGGTCCTTCCTTCTTTATATCCCCCAATCCCCCTGCGTCATACCCACCCCCACCCCCTAGCTATCTCAAGATTCAGTGACCCCTCGACCCTAAGTCATGAGGAACCCCTACCCCCATCTTTCCCTCTCTTCACCCACCCTCTTGAGCTGTAACGGTCCAATGCAAGGCGCGCTCCGGACCTTGATCGCCACTTCTCACCACCCCCTTTATCCCCACCTTTCACCCCCTCCCCCCTCTCTATCTACTTTCCCCCCAGTCAACTTCCTGTGTCCACCCCTTTCACGTTCACTGACCACCCCCTGACCTCCACCCCCCTATTCTCCCTTTCATACCCACCCATCAGCTCCACGTTCAAAAATCTTTGTAATATGACCCATGTGGTCATAATAATGAACCTGAAGAAAGCGCACGAAAACAGACTTTTTCGTTTTTTTCTTGTCAACTGCTGCCACCCCATCTACATGAGGAAAATGACCCCACCAATCGTGTTCCTGTCATCTACTACCCAGCAAAGGGTACTACGATGACCCCCCTTACTTTGTAAACTTTCAAAGGCCACGACAATGCGTCTCTTGACTAGGTGCGACTTTGAGGGTAACTGTACGTGAACGAAGAGGAGTCTTTTCAGAAACGGCCCTCTTGCTGGGCTCACTGAAAAATTTACTTTCTGTCTAAGGGGGTCCTTCAGAGTCATTGATGGGGGTACTGCTGGTAGTTTCCTTCACTTTTCGCAATTCTTATTTAGCATCAATGTCGGTATGTCCGCTTCCAAAATTTCAAATCCAAAGGGGGCCCGTCGACAGTGATTTTGAAATTTACTGAGAACTTGTCACACGGTGTGGTCCTCACCTAAAATGTCCTTACCCAGGGCACCCTTAAAGGGCTTGTCCGGGGCTCTGCCGCTAAGTCATGGGACATGACGTTGACAATCGGATTGTCTCCAGGGAGCTGCGAGCTCGTGGCTGCAAGAGCGCCAAACGACTCGCAATTGAGATTGGCCATGGAGCTCGAGTTGGCTCGCAGGAGTGTGACATCAATAAGTTCACGCCAACCGCCACGGGCTTGCAGCCCCTTGCGGGCTCTCCCCGTGCTCGGGCCCTTTGCGACTGACAACTCCGGTGACGGACTGAAACCCCGTTGCCACTGACGCACTCAGTCTTTACTCAAAGTTAAGTTAAAAATCAGTACGAGGACAATCAGGAGCACTCAGTCAGTCTTTACTCAAAGTAAAAGTACTCAAAGTTTGACTCACTGGCTCGCCCCGGATGCTCACTGCCAGGCTGTCGTACTGATTTTTAACTTAACTTTGAGTAAAGCCTGTCAGAAGTCCGGAGAGTCTGTCACCGGGACGGTCGGGCCCTGGCGGCCCACCAACTTAAACTTGAAACTCGAGTCCGGGCAGTTTGAGGATTCCTGGGCCCGCTCGCCGGAGTCGGGTTCAACGGTTTCAACTCAGTGATGGACACTCATCATGTTGACCCCAGCCTTCCGAGTTCTTTACTCCCAGCTGTAACAAGACAGGCCGGGTTTTCAGTGCTCAAGACCGAGTTTAATGCACGGTGACAAAACAGGTTCCAGCTAGGAAAAGACCCTCCGAAGCTCTTCGACGGTCCCTGTGCTACAAATACAGGCGGCTGAGAGTCTCGGCAACTCGACGTGTCAGTGCGATCCATATCTGAGTCAGCTGGTACATTGAGCAGCGTACTACTCGTGATCGATGGAAGTTATTCCGGCAGCCGAGGAGGCTCGCAGGTACCGTTTTTATTCCCCGGTGATTCAGTGACTGCTGGGCTGAAGACTTGGTGGTTCCGCGGTTATCAACGCCCTGACTGGAGTCAACACGTACGCCGCTTGCTTCATCATTCCTCTCAGCACTGTTTGATACACTGCCTTCGGTGGTCTTAAGGGTGAGACCTTGTTCTATCCTGCTGCTGTTCTGCTCCACTTCCTTACCTTCTCCTGTCTTATTCATCATTCCTAGTGCTGCAGCATCTGACTAGCTTGTAGGAACATACTACGCCTCCTGGTCCCACACTTCCATCATCTATTTCGCCCTCCTCATCTTCATGTGGAAGATCTACGCTGGACCCTCCGACCTCGGATCGACCGACAAGGTGTGGGAGAATCTCAAGGCCATCACCCTCAAGAACCCCATCACGGGCAACCTGCACGGCAGCCCCCTCACCATTTGGTCTCGCGGTGGTCTCATCTTCGGTATCGCCAACATCATCGGAAACTTCGGCACCGTGTTCGTCGACCAGTCCTACTGGCAGGGAGCCGTCGCTTGCAAGCCCTCTGCTACCTGGAAGGGCTACATGCTTGGAGGCATGGCCTGGTTCGCCATCCCTTTCAGTATGGCCACCACCCTCGGCCTTGCTGCCAGGGCTCTTGATCTTCCGATTACCATGAGCGAGGCTGGCTCCGGCCTCGTTCCTCCAGCTGTTGCCCTGCACGTCATGGGACAGGGAGGAGCCTTCTTGATCGTTCTCCAGCTCTTCTTGGCCGTGACATCCACCGCAAACTCCGAGCAGCTCGCCGTTGCTTCCCTCTTTGCCTACGACGTGTACAAGAGGTACTTCAGACCTCAGGCCTCCGGCACCGACATCATCTTCGTCTCTCGTGTCGCTGTCCTCGGCTGGGGTATCTTCTCCGGTGTCATCGCCATCATCCTGTTCGAGCTGGAGATTGGCCTTGGCTGGGTTTACGTGGCTATGGGCAACTTCATCGGCTCTGCTGTGTTCCCTCTCGCCGCCTGCCTCACTTGGAAGGACTGCTCTGCCACTGGTGCCATCTGCGGTGCCTTTGCTGGTCTTGCCGCTGCCATGATCACCTGGCTGGTGATCGCCGACACCTACTACGGCGAGGTCAACGTGGCCAACATGGGCAGCGACTACGCCTTCTTGGGAGGCAACCTGATGGCTCTCTTCATCTCTCCCATGGTCGGCATTCCCATCTCTCTCATGGCCCCTCAGAACTACGACTGGTCTAAGCTCAGAGCCGAGACCGACGGGGTGAGTTCAGATGCTCTCCTCCTTTGCCTTTGCCGCTCCCCTCAACCTTCTCCCCTTACACGTCTCTCCTCGTCTCTTCATCCTCTCTCGTGTTGCTCTCTTCTTCGCAGCGCCTCTCCGTTGAGCTTGTCTTGTTCTTATGCGTGAGATAGGTTGTTGTGTTGGACGCCGGAGAGCACGCTACTGGCTTGAAGCTCGACGACGATGGTGAAGACGGCGTTGCCGTAAGACTACTACCTGCTCTTCCCCAGCGTTGCTCACTCCCTACAGGCTATGGACAGGGCTCTTTGGAATACCTCCGTCTACGGAGGATCTCTCTCGATTGTTCTGATTCTCATCTGGCCCATCCTCGCCCTTCCCGCGCGTGAGTTCACCAAGAGCTACTTTGGGTTCTGGGTCGCAATCGCTTTCATCTGGGTACGTCAGCTGTCCTCCGTCATTCCCTTCCCCTCCGTCTTTCCTCCTTCTCCCTTCTTTTCATCTCTCCGTCCTCCACCCCGTGCTTCACCCCTCTCCGTCTTTCCTCGTCCTCGTCCTTCTCTTCTCTTACTCCTTGCACAGGGACACGTTGCTGCTATCATTACCGTCATCTATCCCATCTGGGAGGTGCGACAGGACATTTATGATGTTTTGGTGGGAGGCAAGCGACATGTTCCAGGTACAATCACTCTTTTCTTCTTGCTCTCCTCCTCTCGTCTTCTTCCTTCCTCTCCTCGTCCTCCTCCTCTCCCACCTCTTTCCTCGTCCTCATTCCTTTACTCTTCCAACCTCGTTCACGGTCTTACCTTGAATCAGATCAACCCATCACCCAAGTTTCGATGCACGGTCAGCACAAGTACTCTGTGCACGGGGCAACGGAGTGGAAGGATGTGTTCTCCTACCACGGCAAGCAGGTGGGAGAGGACAGGGTTGTCCGAGGCCATTGCTGACGATGCTGCTGCAGGCTGATGCGGAGCAGGGGCAACCCCAGGAAATCAACATGGTGAACATGCAGCCCGTCCCAGCGCCAGCACAGCCCATGGGAACCGGGGAGACGATTATGTCTGGACAGGCTTAATTGGCTTGATGTACTTTATTAAACACATCGTGACATGTTAATTTGCACCTTCACTCTCTCACGTCAGCATCGGTGAGAAAGTTCTAAGAAGGACGACTTGACACCTAAACTGAGTGGCAAGATTTTTCTATTGTTATGTACACCTCTGAAGCAGTCTCTAGCCTCCAGTACAAGAATCAACTGTTTTGATCTTAGTCTCTTCACTTCGAGCGTCTACTCGTCCACTTTCCACGACGATCAAAAATACCAACCAGCTATAAGAGGTTATGGCGATGGATCCTGTTTTCAAAGGATCTGACATGAGCATTGTATGTTTGGACTGACGGATTTGCTGCACTCAGGTGTAAGATATCGCCCTCCCTCCTCCTCCTCCTCCTCCTCCTCCTCCTCCTCCTCCTCCTCCTCCTCCTCCTCCTCCTCCTCCTCCTCCTCTTGCCCGTCTCTCCGCCCACATCCCCCCCCTCCCCCTCTTCCTACTATTGCTCATCTCCTCTTCTTCCTCTAAACCTCCTCCTCCCTTCCTCCTCCACCTTGTCGGGCGAGAGGGAGGTCGGCCGCTTGCCAACGGCGATGTACCACATGACGAAGGAAGCGCTGTAGATGTCTGCCTTCTCGGTGTAGTGGCCCACAGTCGTCAGCATGACCTCTGGCGCCATGTAGAGCGGGGTCCCGGTAAAGCTGATAAGATCGTTCAGGCAAGAGCACTGGAGGAGGAAAAGGAGGATGAGCAGGATGAGCAGGAGGAGCAGGAGCAGGAGCAGGAGCAGGAGCAGGAGCAGGAGGAGGAGATAGGGCCCACCCGCTGTGAATCGAAGTTTCACGCTCGGACAAGGACACGGCCTTGCTCATGCCGAAGTCCATGAGCTTCATAATATTGAGGTCCTTGCTCAAGATCAGGTTGGCAGGTTTCACGTCCCGATGGATAATCATTGGGTTTCGGCAATGCAGAAAGTCGAGGGCCCGGAGCAGGTCAAGGCTCCAGCCGAAGATCGACCTGCGCGGCAGGGGATCTCCTCCTCTGAACTGCAGGAAGTACTCAAGCGTTGGGCCGTTGACGTACTCCTCGAACATCACAGGGTTTTCAATGTCCTGCAGCTCAACATGTCAGCACGACAGTCACAGCTACGAGACTTGTACTTCGATGCAAGCTCCGAGGAACTGAACCACGTTGGGATGATGTGGGATCTGAAGTTGGCTGTCACTCACTCACTCACTCACTCACTCACTCACTCACTCACTCACTCACTCCACCTTTCTCTCTCGCACTCCTCCTCTCCCTCCCTCCCTCTGTCTTCGTCCCTCTCCCTCTCAGCAGAAGTGCAAGACATACCGAAGCAAGCACGTCCATCTCCATCATCAAGTCCTTGTATGCCTGCAACAAGACCATGAGCGAGCAGACTCGACTACAGCAGGCGCGAACTTGGCACCCAGCCTTCATGTTATTCTTCATCTTCTTGCCCACGCAGGTTGTCTGAGGAAGAATGTCAGAGGGTCGACAGTTCTGACTTGCCCCTACCGTCCCACGGATGGTGCAGATGTGAACAACTGCGTTTGCCCCTTGACTGAGGTACCTGACTTTGCGTCATCTACTGCACAAGTCCCATGGGATCATTCTCCTCACCTTCCCCACTCGATCTCTTCCTTTCGAATCTGCCAAGAACGTCCCGTCACTCTCTCACGTTCATGCCGAGCGTCCATGATTACCTCCCAACGTCCCCTCAGATGCTCGAGGGTCGCCTGCAAGTTGTGTACCGTTGTCTCCACCTTGAGTTGAGCTTGCTTGCTCTTGCTGACGGGGGCTTGAGGGATCTTCTGCTCCTTGTCCTTTGTGCTTTCTTTCTTGCCCTCCTCCTCCCTCGCCTCTCCCTCCTTCGTCCCTCCCCCATTCTTCTCCTCCCCTGTCGCACCCAACCCCGCCATTGAGAGTTGACAAGCGTCAAACGGAGGTACTACCGCACGGTCCTTCCTTCTTTATGACCCCTACCTATCTCAAGATTCAGTGACCCCTCGAATACAAGTCATGAGGAACCCCTACCCCCATCTTTCCCTCTCTTCACCTACCCTCTTGACCTGTAACGGTCCAATTCAAGGCAGAGACCCTCCGAACCTTGATCGCCACTTCTCACCACCCCCCTTTTTCCCCCACCCACCTTTCACCCCCTCCCCCCTCTCCATCTACTTTCCCACAGTCAACTTCCAGTCAACTTCCTGTGTCCACCCTTTTCACGTTCGCTGACCCACCCCCCTCACCTTCACCCCCCTATTCTCCCTTTCATACCCACCCATCAGCTCCAAGTTCAAAAATCTTTGTAATATGACCCGTGTGGTCATAAAATAATAATGATGAACCTGAAGAAAGCGCTCGAAAACAGACTTTTTCGTTTTTCCCCTTGTCAAATACGACTTTGAGGTTAACTATACGTGAACGAAGAGGAGTCTTTTCAGAAACTCTTCTTTATAGCATCACCGTCGGTCGAAAGGTCGAAAGAGGCCCTGAGGTCAGCGGGGGCCTGAGGGCCCGTTCGAGCCGGAAATTCACTGAGAACTCGGAACTTCGGAACTCTAAAATGTCCTTACCCAGGGCACCCTTGAAGGGCTTGTCCGGGGCTCTGCCGCTAACTTATCAGTCACATGATGGGACATGACGTTGACAATCGGATTGTCTCCGGGGAGCTGCGAGCTCGTGGCTGCAAGTCGCAGGAGCAGCCCCTTCAACGCGGCGGGCTCCTTTGCGACTGAAACCCCGTTGCCACTCACGCACCGTGCCAGTCTTTCCTCTAAGTCTTACCGTACCGTCTGTCAATAGAAACTGACTCACTTCACTGTACGGTACGGTCAGGCTTGCCAACGGTTGGATGCTCACTGTGAAATAAGTCCGGTCACCGGCCCGGTCGGCCCGGCGGCGGCCGGCGGCCCGGCGGCCCACCCATCAAACAAGTTGAAAGGCAATTTGAAGTTTGATTCCTGGACCCCGGCTCGGGTTTCAACTGAGTGACGGAGACTTGTAAACTTAGTATGCCACAGAAGTGATGCAGACATCATGTTGACCCCAGCTTCTTTACTCCCAGCTGTACTAACAAGCCTCACTGGTTTTGCTCAAGACCGAGTTTAATGCACGGTGACGAAACAGGGTCCAGACATAGGAGGAGCCTTAGGAAGATGGCTAGGAAAAAGACCCCGCCTCTTCGTCCCTGTGCTACAAATACAGGCTGAGAGTCTCGGCAACTCGACGTGTCAGTGCGATCCATATCTGAGTCAGCTGGTACATTGAGCAGCGTACTACTCGTGATCGATGGAAGTTATTCCGGCAGCCGAGGAGGCTCGCAGGTACCGTTTTTATTCCCCGGTGATTCAGTGACTGCTGGGCTGAAGACTTTCAATGATCACCTTTCTGACTTCTTTCGGAGCTAACCTCCCCGCTGTTTCTTTCATGACCTCACCCTTAGGACGGACATCTGTTCAGCAGAGGCTTGCCCCACCTCATTGTTTCCTTACCATCAGGAAGTTTATCATCTTGTCTTTCTCCCTCGATGCCGGTGGTCGGGACTGCCTGTAGCGCCCGGTGAGAAAGGAGAAGTGGTGCACTACGATTCATCGATACCTCATTTTCGCTACGACATCCGCATGCTTTTCCAAAGTCTACAGTCTCAATCACGATGGTACAGGATGATCGCAGTGACCTGCTGCACAAATCGCGATATCACAGCCTGATCTTCTTGTTGTTCTTGTGGCAATGACGGTGGAGTTCCGCTGACGACGTATGCTTTCAGAGCCTACAAGGTAGTTGTCATTCGATATGGACAAGTTGTGAACAACACCTTTCCTGTTCTCTTGCATATTTCGTTGTATTCTCCCTGTCAACCACTGAGAGACTGTAAGGCAAGGGCCCGAGACTACACCTCATTATCAGCTCTTTCATCCATGAAGTGCTAACGACTTCGATGCTTGAGTTGTTCTGTTATAACTGTTACATTTTCACCTCAGGTCATAGCAATCCTCTGTCGAGCTTGACCTGGCTCGCAAACCTTACAAGCGTTCTAATCCAATCCAGAGTTTTAGCAATAGTCTGTGCAGGAGAAGACAGCATCAATAACATGAGCTGGTAGGGCAAAAGAGATCAACCGAGCAGTTAGTACGTTCGTCTCCGATCTCTTTTACACATCTTGAGAAATAATCTTCGATGACTTTCAGTCCTCCACAAGATCTTTTCTCTAGCAAACCTCACCCAGCGCGTTTGGTCGGTCGACGAGATATTTAGCATCAGACAGGCTTATTCCGAATGTCTGGAACACAATGAGCTCTCGTAACAACCCTACATACAAGAGCAGTTACACGGAATCGTCACCTTAGCAACTGGTGTGTAGTCGTCTTCCTCACAATCTTAAGATAGAATCAAAATGGCGTGAAGAAGTTGGAGAAGTCTATCAATTGTTACATGCAATATCAGCGCACGTAATTTCTCCTTCGAACGCGTCCAGAAAATCCTGACGAGAAACGTTACGAACAAAACAATGGTGCGACAGGTTTCACCTCTGTTTTCACAATCAGGCCGACTTTCATATCCCCACTGTTGAACGATATCGTCTTGCAAACAGCATGAAACTGCCGCAACATCGTTCCTCCTCCCCTCCCTACCTCGTTCGCCAGCACTCGCTGGTCCAGGATCCTCCTCGATACGCCGGGGACGAAGGGATGCACAGCTCCTATGTCAGCTCCCGTGATGGACCTGCGGGTCCTCTTCTCATCCCCCACCTCCCTTCCCAGCTGGTCACCTCATCCTGTCGGGGTCTAGCAAGGAACATTCGCAGCCCACGTGCGCCTCAAGTTTGCTTCTGGAGACCTTGCTTGCTACTGAGTATGCTGCCAAGCGCTCTATTCCCTCACCTACTCTCGTCTCCTCCACTCTCTCACTTCCCTCCCCTCGATATCCCTTCCGCCTACGTACCTCCTCTTCATCTCCTGCCTCCCTCCTCTCGTCTCTCCTCCCGCTTTTCTCCCTTCTCTCGATTCCTCCTCTCCCCCCCGCACCCCCCCTTCCCTCTCGTTCCCTCCTCTCCCTCCTCTTCCAAGGTCCCTCACCTGGCAATGTCCAGGAACCATACAATGCAGGTAGTTATGAGAACCTTGCTCGTCTCCTCGGCTCTGGCAGACAAACACCATGCTCTTGATGATCTTATGTAGGGGGACTCCCCTCTCCGCAGCTGAGTCTACACACCTCCTAGATTCCTCAGCTTGCACGCGCACTTCAAACTTCACCTGCAGCACTTCCGATCACCGTTGTTGGCGTACCCCACGTAAGAATCTTTCTCATCCTCTCCCTCCCAACTCCTGTTTTCTGCTCGCTCCCTTCTCCGCGCGTCCCTCCCTTTCTGCTTTTTCGTGTTTCCTTCATCCCTTACTCCTCGCTCACTCCCCCTCCTTCATCTCTCCCAGCTTGCCTCTTCATCCCTCCTACCATGATCCTCTCCTTCGTCCCTCGTCTCTCCTCCTCCTCCCCTTCACCTGCTTCCTTCTCAGAACTTCGTCGGCAGCATGCCCGCAAACTTTCATTCCTTTTTCACCGGACTTTAGGGACCCCTACCTACTCACAAAATTAAAGTACCCACCCTGTGCATGAATAACAAGTTGGTAACCCCCAAATTAATAGTTCAAAGTACCCCTCATTGTGTAAGATATAGTAGTAGTGACCCCAGTGATATCTCCACCTACCCTACCGTTCTCTAGATTTCTGCGCATGTGATGCGTCTGTACATAGAGGAGCAGGAGGAGGACGGGGACAGGAGGAGGAGGAGGGGGAGGAGGAGGAGGGTTGGGACATTGGGAGCAGCAGCAGCAGCAGCAGCACAGCAGCAGCAGCACAGCAGCAGCAGCAGCACAGCAGCAGCAGCAGCAGCAGCAGCAGCACAGCAGCAGCAGCAGCAGCAGCACAGCAGCAGGAGCAGCAGCAGGAGTAATGTCAGCAAGGCCTCTGATAGGAGGGTAGGCGAGCAAGCAGGAAGGAGAGCACGTGAGATTTCAAACTCTCAGGTACTGACTTTGAGTGAGTCGGGTGCAGGGATGGATGATTCCGGTCTGAGCATGAGAGGAAGCCCTTTCCTCAAAGTCTTGCTGCTCCTCTCCCTCGTCCTCCCTGATGCCTGCTGGGTTGCACACAGACCGCTATCCTCCCGTCATGGCATGTTTCTATCGCAGAAACCAAGGAAGGCTTGTTGCCGCTGCTTTCCTGTCGTCCTCCATGCCAAGAAGGAAGCTGCCATGCCTCCGGAGAAAGAGCTGTCCATTAAGGATTTGTTGGGGAGAGGCGGTTCCCTCCTTGAAGCCAACCAGGTGAAGGCCAGGAGTGATAAGAGGGGAGACGCAGGGAGGGGAGGGGGGGGGGGGGGTTAGAGGTGGAAAGAGGCGGAGGAGGAGGCGGAGGAGGAGGTGGTGGTGATGATGGAGGAGGAGGAGGAGGAGGAGGAGGAGGACGGAGTGGAAGAGTTATTCTTGTTTGAACAGTTGTTTGAGACAATGAGATCGGAGAACTACAACTTCACCCTCAAGTTCTTCACGACCTTCATGAGCGTGTGCGGACAAGACATAAGGAGGGGGAGAGCGACAGCAGATGACGCGTATGAGGTGCTGAGCAAGTGCAAGGAGTGCGGGCTTCAGCCGGATGCCATCCTCTACAACGCGCTCATGAACACAGTAGCGCAGGCGGCATGGAGGGGGGAAGCGATACTCTCTCACGGGAGCCAGGTGATCAGCAGCATGAAGGAGGACGGGGTGCAGCCAGACGCGTACACGTTCAACACGCTGCTCGACGTCTGCACGAAGATGATGATGAAGCAGGGAAGAAGATCAGGAGCGCCGGTGACGCCCATGACAGGGTTCAGCGTTGTTCAGCTCATGCTTGCCAACGGAGTCTCTCCCGACCAGTACACGTTCACCTCCTACATGCAGCTGTGCGTCAAGTGCGCTGAGAGATCGTTGGCATCCCCAAGAGACGGCGAGCGCATCGTAGAGATGATGAGGAGCCAGGGACTAGCCCCCTCCCTCCATGTGTACAACACGCTGCTGGACCTGATCGCCAAGTGCGCATCTCACAAGAAGGCGGAGCTGGAGGACGGGGAGCGAGTGCTTGAGAGGATGGCGGCTGACGGCATCGCCCCCAACCTCGTCACGTTCAACACCCTCCTCGAGTGCTGCGCGAACTCAGCGAGGTACAGCCAGGGAGGGCTGGCAAGGGCCTGGGGGATCGTAGAGCTGCTGGTCGACAGCAAGCTCTCCCCCGACAGGTTCACGCTGAACGCGCTGCTCAAGACTTGTCTGCACAGCTCCCGATCCCTCCTCGACCCGCTCCATGAAGGGTGAGGAACGAACAGCTGCTCCCTGCTGTGACAACCGTTCGCAGGACGGAAATATTCCACCACCTTTGCGAGCACAAGGGGAGGAGGGAGAAGCTGGCGGGGTGCGATATCGTGAAACCCGACTTGATCTCCTTCTCCATCCTGATGAGCATCTGCGAGCAGGTCGATCTCCTCCCTTTCTCCTACATGCTGACTCGTTTGAACTTCCTCCTCCCCTCCTCCCGTCCTCCTTTCCTCCCTTCTTCCGTCCTCCTTTCCTCCCTGCTCCCCTCCTCCTTTCCTCCCTGCTCCCTTCCTCTCCTCCTCCCCTCCTCCTTTCGCTGTGTCTCGCCGCCTCTTCAGAGCATACTGAAGAAAAGAGCAACGATAAAGAGCGCAGATCTTATCATCAAGACTATGAAGAGAGATGCTGTTCTACAGATCGACACAGGTCCTGCTCCTGCTCCTTCCCCGCGCCCTCCCCTTCCACCCCCGCTCCTGCCACCGTCCCCTCCTCCTCCTCCTCCTCCTCCTCCTCCTCCTTCTGATCCACCACCGCCTCCCTCCACTTTGACAACCATTCTCTCTCCTTTCCCTCCTCTTCTCTCGTTTCCTACCTGTTTCTCGCTCCTCCCCTCTCTTTCATCCTTCCTCCCCTTCGTTTACTTACCTCCTCCTCCTCCTCTCCTCTCCCTCTCCCTCTCCCTCTCCCTCTCCCTCTCCCTCTCCCTCTCCCTCTCCCCTCTCCCCTCTCCCCTCTCCCCTCTCCCCTCTCCCCTCTCCCCTCTCATCTCACATTCCTCAGGCCTCTGCAACTCCTTCCTCGCGTGCGCGTGTGCCGATGGCTCGGAGGAAGCAGTCGAGTCAGCGGAGGAAATGTTTGACGCTATCCCTGCGGCCTGCCGGAGCTCGCAGACCTACGGGAGGATGTTACAGCTGCACGGGAGGAGGGGGGATGCTGGGATGGGGAGGGCCAGAGCACTGCTGGAGGAGGCCGAGCAGGTGAGACTTAGTTTCGTCCTCCTCGCACGAGATGAGGAGAGAACGGCAGGCTGGGCTGGTGGACGGCAGGCTGCTCCAGCTGCTGATTGAGGAGGAGATGGAAGACGAGGAGACTTTGAGACGGTGAAGGAGGGAGGGAGGGGAGTAGGGGAGGGAGGGGAGGGAGAGTCTTGAGGGACCATGGAGGAAGGAGACGAGAGGAAGAAGAAAGAAGTATGTACGGAGGTAGAGGACAACACGGCAGTGGTAGAGGTGGGGCAGGGGAAAGGGAGATGAGAGAAAGCAAAAGGGGGAAATGCGGGAAAGGAGCAGGGGAGGAGGGGGTAGAGGGAGTGGAGGAGGAGTAGCCTGGGGTGAAGAGGGAGGTTAGGGCAGGAAGTAGCAGATTGGGGAGGAGGGGGAGGAGGGAAGTGGCAGAGGAGGTGCACTGATGAAGAGCGGCAGCATCTACGAGGAGCTGAAGAGGAAGCGCGTGCCAATGAATCAAAGGGTACACGAGCTCATGGCAGAGATGTAGTGACGACATGGAGGAGGAGGACGGGGGTGAGGAAGAGGAGGCGGATGAGGAGGAGGATGGGGCGGAGACAAGGACATGAGCAGTAGGACGAGTACGAGGATATGGACGACAGGTGGTCGTCGTCGGAGGAAGCGGAGCAGCGGAGGAGGGGGGGCAGAGAGAGAGAGGAGGAGCGTGTGGTGTATCATAGACTGTTCATGTATGGGACAATGAATAAAGAGAAGCAGACAAAGACGAGGAGGACGAAGAGGAAGACAGAGAAGTAGAAAACACGCGTCCATGTTCGCCTCACCAGCTCCTCTAGATTTCGAATGCTCTGCTTTGCTCCCTGTTTCCAGCGTCAACGCTTCTTCCTCCCTCCCTTCTCCTCCATCCTCATCATGCCTACACTACCTCTCCTACCTTTCCCCCTCATGCTCAGGCCTCCTGCCTTCCTGCTTCCCTCCCTTGCCAAAACTTCCCAGCCAACTCGTTCAGATCCCCCTCTGCCTCTTCCTTTCTTGGTTTTCCTCCTCCCCTCACCTTGTCTAGTCTGGACTCTAGCGGCCTCTCCTTCGCACGCTGTCGGAGGAGAAGGAGGCTCTTCGAAGAGCAGCCGGGCTGCTTGAAGTAGTCTGAGAAAAACTCGTCAGCTTGTCAAACACGACAAGCAGCCTGTCAAAGCTATCATCTCACTTTGCGTGTCGTGATATCCCAGCATGACAAGGCCATGTAGAGCCTCCATGGAGGGAGGGAAAATCGCCCTGCTCGCCCCCATCAGCGCACAAGATCCTTGCGTCTCTTCCTGCGTATCCTCCTCCCTCCCTCTCGAGTCTCTCTCTCAAGCCCGACCTCTTCCTCGTGTACCCCTCGTCCTCGTCCTCGTCCTGGTCTCTAAACTCTTGCTTCCTCCATGTTTGCCTCCTCCTCCGTCTCCTCCTCTCCTCCCCTCTTCTCACCACCAAAACGGAATCCGAACGCTGGGCTTCAGATCAGCTCCCGGAGCTCCAAACGCGCTGCCTCATCCATTCAATGCCAAGGCGACAAGAGCGGAGGAGGGAGAAGACAAGAACGACAGACAAGAGAAGACAACAAGTACAGCAAGAAAACGAACAAGGAGGGAGAAGTCGAAGAAGACGAACATGAGGAGTAGGAGGATGAAAGGAGGCTGACGATGACAAAAGGAAGTTATGGAGGGAACAAAGCGGAGGAGCAGAACGGCAAGTTGATGAGGGGAACCAGCAAGAAGGAGAAGGAGAAGGAGAAGCATGGAGCAGGAGCAGGAGCAGGAGCAGATGGTGGGAGGTGTTACCTGACTTTGATCACCGTGTCCGACTCACTGAACGTCCTCCACGGCACGAAGAGCGACGCCCACACGAGCCCGTCGTAGTACCAGCCGTGCCCGGGGACAGGATACGGGAGGAGGCAGACGAGGGGGATGTGGCAGGAGGCACGAAGGCTGGCAAAGAGCTCCCCCCAAGTGTGGAAGGTGCTAACTACCTCTCCCATGAGGAAGGGAGGCTTGCTTGAGACTTTGGTGAGAAGGACGCGGAGAACCTCGGTACTCTTGAGGTGTGCGTCCTTGGGCAGGAAGATGTCCAGCGCCTGCTCGCACTGGGAGAGGAGGCGGAAGGGGTTCCTGCCAGCCACCGGGAACGAGTTGGAGATGACCCAGGTTGAGAGGGCTCGGGCGTCGATGCCTGAGGCGAGTGTGCCGGCAACCAGCGACCCTCCGCTGCTGCCGCTGTAGCCGATGAGCTTCGGGTCCTTGTCGATGTTGTCCTCGAACCACATGGCGACTCCAAAGTGGTAGAGGAAGAGCCATGCCGAGGAGTCGAAGCTGATCATGAGGCGAGACTCGGTGTACCTCCTCTTCCACAGCCTCTTCTCAGCGTCGCGTGAGAAGTAGAAGTCCGTGAAGATGAAGAGCCCCTGCAGCATCACAAAGATCTGCATCACCATCAGGCCGGCCGGCATGCTCCTCCACCATAGCGCCAGCAGGGCATGGAGGAGGAGGACGGCGAACTCGTAAACCTGCAGGTGGTACAGATGCTCCTTCCTGAACAAGTGTAACTTCGGCGCATGCATGCCGAAGTCGATGCGGATGTTCCAGTTGAGACGGAGGAGGGAGAGTGTGAAGACTACGAATCTGATGGCGACCACAGCAGAGTCCAGGGCGGTGATGAAGAACGCGTCTCCTCCTCCCACTCGAGCTGCAGCAAACCAGGACCAGACGTTGACGAGGCGCAGGTAGAAGTGAAGGGCCCCGTAGGTGCGGAACTTCTTCTGGGAGATGCGGAAGATCGTGTCGAGGAGCTCGAGGATACGGTTGTAGTAGTGCAGCTGGATCAGACAGCGCAAGGTGGGGGAGGAAACCTCCGCCCGGTTGCCCCATGGATGTCGCAGCATTCCCAGCCTGTTGGACTCGAGGAGGACGAGGATGAAGATGAAGGAGGAGGAGATGGTCTGGTAGAGGTCGAAGACCAGGAGAAACTCGAACACGTACTTCTCCGCTGGCTGAATCCTCTCCATCATGATGCGAGACGCGACCATGATCGCGATCGGGTAGAGGCAGGTGACGAGGACGGGGAGGAGGAGGGAGGGAGGCTCGTCCCTGTACAGCATGATTCCCGTCCCGATGATGAGTAGGAAGATGACAAATCCGTAGATCACCCGACGAGGAACGAAGGCAGGGCGCATAGCGATGATGTCCCAATGCCCGAGCTCCGCCCTCCTCTCTGAGGTGCGGGAGTCCCCCAGGAGAGCGAGCTTCTTCCTCGCCTCCGCCTCCATCGCCGCGATCTGCGGCTTCGCCTTCTCGAGGTAGTGGGAGTGAAAGTCTGCCACCGAAGGGGCCCTGTGGAGGAGGAGGGTCGTCTCATCCTCGCGAGTCACCAGGCAGTAGGGGCCCCGTCGGACTCCTGCTCGGATCAGCCGCTCGTCCAGGAACGGCTTCCCGAATTCGCTAGACTGGGGATCTCCAACAATCCAGAACTCTCGCTCCTTGTGCTCCACCTTGCCCTGGTCTCCCTTCTGCTCCTCCTGCTCAATCCCGTCTCTGTTCAGGAGCTCGTCGGTCTCCTCCTCCATGCTCTCCTCCTGGCCACTGGGCTGATCGTCGTGGTGAAGTTTCCTCACCTTCCTCGTGTGCAGCGTCGAATCCTCCGGCTCCTTCTCTCCTCTCTTCGATTTCACTTTGTCTGCATGCTTCAGCATACCGCTTCCCATGTCTCCAACACAGCACTCCCGTCACATGCCACTCTCTCCTGCCTTGATCGCACCGAACTCAGGCAAGTTCCATGACCTCTGCGATCTGCGACGAACATAAGATGCTTCAGGTGAGGTGATCAACAGCAGGGCACGCAAGACAACGAGCTGAACTCGCACGGGATGAGATCGTTCACGTGTCATGAAGATGACAGGCATGCAAGACACAGTGAGCGTCGTAAGGCAGTCCCCACAGGGCAACGGGGAGTGAGAGAGGAGAGGGAGAGGAGAGAGGAGAGAGGAGAGGGGAGGAGGGAAGGAAGAGCAGCGGGTAGACATTGAGGAGGCTCAAGGAAGATAGTGCTAAGTCAAACACGACCGAGTCCAAACTAGCTGGCTTCCAAACAAGCTCTGGACACCACCCAGAAGACATGGAGTATGAGAGAGCAGAAAAAGGAAAGGAAGAAATATCCTGTTATGGAGGGACACTGAGGAATCGCCTCCAACAAGTTCTATCCTCGACCTCTGCATCTCTCCTTGCTTTCCTAGCCTGAGGAAGGTATGTACTAAGGCCAGTGGACGTTACGATCCACCTGTGCGACAGAGGGTGGGTGAAAGATCAAGAAACTTTGGATAACAGTGCCAGGAGGAGCATGAGGAACACGAGGAGCAGGGCAAGGGGTCAGGAGGTCAGGATCAGGGTCCAGGAATGCAGATAAGTTGAGGAAAGGAAGAACAGCAAGAGGGGAAAAGGTGAAGCCTCAATAAGAACGTGGGACAAGGTAAGCGAGAAACGAGGGCAAAGGGAGAGAGCGGTGGCAAGGGCGAGGCGGGACAATGAGGTAAGGAAAGGAAGAGAAGAGATAGAGGGGAGAGAAGATCGGGAGAGAAGAGAGGGAGGGCGGCGGCGAGGAGGAGGGGTTGGAGGCAAGCTCAGCTGCAGGAGCATCGGGGGGGTTCAGCCCCCTCCATGGCTACTGCCACCCCTACCCCTCCTTAGATACCCTTGCTGCCAGAGTACCCCCATATATAACAAGGGCATCATTAGGACCCCTTTCATTTTTTACCTACCCCTATATTTCCCATAATTTTATGCAAATATTCCATGTCCCTCGGGTAATAAATACACCCACCGGGTCATTAAACTCCTCGATTCAACACCACCCCCTCCCAATGAGTCAGGCCTCACCTACCTGTATGCACCTTCACACTCATGTAATGAAAATTTGTACCCCTACCCCCATTTTGTTTCTCCATACCCCTCCATTGGACACAAAACTTACCCCTAATTTACCTCAAAATTGAAGGCTTGTCTACCCCTCACCCCTTCATTTACTACCCCCACCTCGGCGTCCGCTTACTTTGCTGGCAAGTTTGGCCTCGTCCCCTCACTGACCTTTCAAAGGCATTCGGTCAGTGCCTCCGGCACTTCTCGGGTCACGGGCCCGATCTGGTCCGGGCAATGCATCGGGCGGTTACAGAACCGTGACTAATCCGATATGAACCACCTTTGGAGTTATTACTAATTTTAACAATTTTAAAACTATTGTTTATTAAAACTATATAAAATCTCGAGAGTTTTTTACTCCTTCGAGTCATCTGACATTGTAGGCACCAAACTGGATCTGAGGGGGTAGGGGTAATGTCACGAAGGGGTCTGAAACATGATGAAAGAAGGGGTTATAGTCAGGGGCAAATCTTTAGTGAGAGGGGGGTAGTGGTACAACAGTCGCTCACGGCGCCAAACTAAAAATATTATACTTGAGTCCACTGTGGGGAGACATTTTTCATCAAAAGGTGGGTACTTGACGTGTAATAGGGAGGTAGGGGTTATTTGCAGGTATTGTGTGTATATGATATTTTGAAATAGTTCGATTTCACAGCCAGGTAACGTGACCTTTGCAAGGGGTCACGAAAGTGCTCGAGCGAAGAGCAGCACAGCGAAGGGGAAAGGAGAAAGGGGAGGAGGAGGAAGAGGAAGAGGAAGAGGAAGAGAAGGAAGAGAGAACCAAGAGAGAAAGAGGAGAGTAGAAGGAGGAGGGGAGAGGGAGGGAGGGAGGGCGTGCAGTCAATTGCTGCTGCATTGTGTCCAAAGGGCAGCTAAAGCATGGCAGCAGCCATAGAGGAGGTGGCTAGAGTAAGGGCGGTAAGGGAGACAAATTCTGCGAATCGACCGGGGCATACGGGCGGCAATGAAACCAGAACGTCTGGAGAACAAGTCATAGAGGACAAGGAGCTGGAGGTTATGAGGAACAGTCGCAGATCTGTGCAGATCATCCCCTTCCTGGCCTCGCTCGTTGCGTCAGCGAGGGCGTTCAAGGACGTGGAGAAGGAGAAGAAGTACACTAAGTTCTTCCTCACCTCCATCTTCCGCTCCGACAACGTCTTTCTGCGCTCCGTCTTCATCCTCGCGCTGACGTACAACGGCGGAGTCCTGGCGGTGCGAATCATGAGCCACAAGTCCCTCTCGCTCTCCGACTTCCTCTTCATGTTCCGGTTCGTCATCCTGCTCACTTGCTGGCTCGTCATCACGGTATCCGACAAGCTCCCCGCTCATTACCTGACGTTCGCCGGGCGGTGGCTGAACTGGGTGGTGGAGTTGAGGATCTTCATGTTTGCGGTGGACCACCTGCGGTTCGAGATCCTCTACGACTCTGCCTTCATCGCCAGCATCTCCCTCAGCCTCGGCTGCATCGTGATCTCCCCGCGCTTCTGGCCGCTCAACGTGAGGAGGACGGCGACTATCTGCTTCGTAGGCAACCTTGCGCGGCTGCTGTGGCCGTCGAAGCGCCTTGCTCTCAACGAGGAGATAGATAGCCTCGTCTTCTCCATCACTGTCTTCGTCCTCGGCAACCTCGGATCAGTATCGTTCCATGCGTTCATGCGGCAGAAGTTCACCGAGAAGTGGAAGCAGGAGGCAGAGAGGATGTCGCAGCTGCAGAAGGTGAGTGCTGACGTCGACAACGGCTCGTCTCTGACTCCTCGCAACGCAGGGGAACAAGGCCATGTGATGTCGACGAGGGAGGAACGGAGAGGGAGAGGGAGAGGGAGAGGGAGAGGAGAGAGGAGAGAGGAGGAGCGAAGTGGGTAAACTTGTTGATAAGAGTTTCTTATTCCTTGGGGCTTGTGACTAGTTTACATGATGACTGAAGCTACTCTCTTCTCCTCTGCACTGACATGATAACACGGCGCGACTCTATTGATACATCCGCTGCGGCCCAACCCGCGTGCTCCGAGCCCCTACTCGTTCTGCTGATCGCACGCCTCCATACCCTGCTCCTCCTGCTTCTCCTCCTGGGTCTTCTTGCGGTGGAAGGAGACGAAGGCAGATGAGCACTCGTCGTGGCTCCTCCAGAAGTGCTTGTTGGACGCGGAGGAGAAGGGGAACGCAACGAACATGGTCGGGCAGATGTGCTGTGCTATCACTGCCAGCGCCTGCTGCAGTCGACGATCGTCGGCATCCGCCAGCGCTGCTATGAGCCTTCCTCTCACCTGCCCCTTCACTTCAGAGAGGACAAGGACCGGCCGCTGCTAGAGCAAGCCAGAGGGAGGGAGAGGGGCAGAGGAAGGGGCAGGGGAAGGGGAAGGGGAAGGGGCAGAGGGCGGGGCAGAAGTAGGAGCAGGAGACAGTAGAGAAGGAAGGAGACAAGGAGGAGCAGTAGGAGAGGAGGAAGGAGGACCTGCAGTGGGTAGACTCCATCCCACACGGAGGGGAGAATAAATCTTTCGAGGTCCATGATGAGTGACTTGAGCTCGGGGAGGGTGGCGTTTGCAACCTGCAGCAGCCTCAGGTGAAGGGATGGGGCGGTAGAGGGGAGAGGGAGGGGATGAAGACAAGTCAGGGGTGGGTAAGGTACAGGAGCACAGGGATCAAACCAACGAAGTGGGCGATCAGTGAGAGAAATGCAAAGTCGATGAGAATGCTAGGAGAAAGAGGGAGGAGGGAGCTTTAGAACGAAGAGGACGAGAAAGAAAACAAGGGCGAGGACGAGGACGGGATAGACGAGGAGGAGGTAGGTTGAGACGCACCGCTGACAGCCACTTGTCTCGGACAGCTTTCGGTCGGAACTGCTCCTTGAAGGCCCTGGCCTTGAGGGCACTGCAGAGCTTGATGGAGACAGCAGCAGCGCTGGTGACGAGATGGTCGGTGTCGAGCGCAAATTCCAGTTTCCACTCGTCTCCCTCCTCCCTTGACCCTGAAGGAAACATCACAAGCTGGCAAGCGCGAGAGGCCATGAGGACAGGGACGGGAAGAAGGAACAAGCAGGGAGGAGGGGGAAGTAGGAGGGAGGAAAGAGGAGGGAGAAAGGATGGAGGAGAAAAGGAGGGGAAAGGAGGAGGGAGAGACGGACAAGGACTACTGAGGGAGGAGAGTTGATGGTCAAGCTCATGTGCAAGGGCAGGATGAGCGAGGTCAGGACGATCAAGGAGGAGGAATGGAAGGAGCCTCCCACCTTGCACAGAGGTTTTCTCAGGAGCCCGCATCCTCTTGCTAGGAGACCTTGTTGCAAGGTTGTGCTGCTGGAGCAGACTGTCTGGCACGCTCGCAGTGTTCCAACCCTTGACCGGCGCAGCCTCCCGGTCACCGTCCTGGATCGTCCCTTCTTCTGCCGCTCCCTTCCCTTCAGCCTCCACCCCTGACCGAGTCCTCTTGTTCCTCGTCTGTACGTTCGGAGCTTCCGGCCTCTCTGGGTTCCTTTTCATCCGGCGGGTCGACTTGTCGGCAGCGGCGGCGATCTTGCCGACCGCAGCCGCTTCCTCTGACTCCTTCCCTCGAACCTTGACTGACCTGACTGACTTGGCTCGAGAGTCAGCAGATTTGACCTGATCCTCCTCGACCACTTCAACCTCCACTTCCATAAGGTCCGAGACTGGGATCGCTGCCTCCTGCACATTTACAGAAGCTCCAGCCTTCGTCTCCTGCTGTCGGGCAGTGGGATTCTTGACCGGATTCTGCCTGCCCACATGACTTTGCTTGCCTCCTAACGCAACGCCAGACTCCACCTCCTGGCACAGCTCCGCCTCATCCTCGAACCTCTCCAGGTACTCGTAGAAGCAGGCGTCCGGCGCTCTTGCCTCCGCCTTCTCGTCCCTCCGAACCTGCGCGATGCCGCGGTAGACCTGCCGCGTGTTGTCGTCCTTCTCGAGGTTGTAGAGGGAGGCAGAGCCGAACTTGAACACTCTGATGTACGTCTTGGGATGCTTCGTTATCCGCCCGCAGAGCCTGGCGAACTGCGGAAGGGAGACGCAGCCATGCTTGCAAAGCACCCGCAGCGTGGGGTTGGAGTCGTCCGACAACTCCTGCACGAGAATTCCGCAGTGCCGCTTCTTGTCGTCGTCACGGTCCTTGCAGAACACGACGTATCCCTTGCTGTTATTTGCCAGGACCCATCGGTCTGCATAATGCTCCGCCCCCTTCGAGCTATCTGACAGTGACTTGCATGCTCGATCTTCCGACGTCTCCGCCCTTTCCGACTCCTTAGAGCTGCTGCTGCCACCCTCATTCAGCAGCCGCTGGCTGGCGTCCAGCAGGAAGGAGAAAGAGATCTTTGCGCTGCTCCTGGCCTCCTCGTCCACCTCAGCTGTGAATCGATTCGATGCCCCTCGATCCTTGGATCTCTCGACGATCGCGTCCAGCGTCAGGGGAAGGTGGGAGCGAGCAGCCGCTGCTGGCTCCACTCCGACTCTCTGGCTGCTGGAGCTCGGCTCGTACAGAGGATGCGGTCGAGTGTTGACATGCCCGGCTTCAGCAGCGATGTAGGAGGGGAGGACCTGGCGAGGAGGGTAGAAGCTGCGCATGGAAACACCATCACACAGACAGACAAGCTCTGCCTTGCTCGCGTCTCGGGTGTAACTGCCCTGCTTCCTTTGGAATGCGCTCAGGTCGAGGCCCTGCAAAGTGTCGAAGGCAGGCCTCGAGGAGATTTGAAAGAGGTGATGGAATTTCAACCAGGCGCAGTTCCCGGCCCGACCACCATGCATGTACTGTACCTTGAACTCAATGTCGTCGCACTCGCTTGTCCTCGTCTTCTCTCTCCGCTCTGCATGCATCTGTACAGACCCTGCCTCCAGCACACCTCCAGCTTGCTGCTGAGACCTGTTGCTCGCCTACACATCCCGGTCAAACTAAATGTCTGCGCCCAGCAAAAATTCTCACCTTCACAGCAAACTTGCCCGAAGCTCCTAGCTGAACGTCCCCAGCATCTGCCATGTCCTTGCGTCTAATCTCCAAGACTTCTGCATCCAAGAACGCATTGCTGTCGATGCCGAAGCTTGCAGCAAGAACGAGGTCTCCAACCTTTGGCCCTGCATTCCTAGGAAAGTGATATGATCGCGGTCGAAATTTCCTGCAGTATCCTGTGGGGCACCAAATGTCTGTGAATCCCAAGAAGTTCAACCTTGGATGCCCTTCCAGCATAGAGGACGGTTCCACATCGAACCAGGAGTCCTCGATCAAACCTTCCAGCCCTGACTGTGCGTTCTTCAAGTCAACTTTTCCCCGGAGCGATCTCCCGTGACTCTCAAGGTCTCTATTCAGAATGGATGCAACAGACTTGTCGGTGTATCTGTCGAGCAGCGTCCTGTCCCAGGTGTTGGCTGCTTCCAAGGCACTCGCGAACCGACCACTGCAAATCAGCGACTCGTCCTGCAAGGTCTGCATCTCCCACAGCTCTGGAGAAGAATCGCTTCTGCTTACGCCGCGATATCCGGAAGCTTCCTTGGGCTGCGAGGCCCTCTGGATGCTATTTGAGCTCGTGCGCAAGTCATGGAATGAAGAAGAAAGATGTGAAGTTGCCGCACTGTCGGAGAGGTTACTGAAAGTGCTCTGCTTCTTGGCCCCGTAGCATTTCATGCTCACCATCACACCGGAATCCAGAGCAACCAACAACCACTTGAAACCATCATCAAGAGCTGCTCCGTTAAGAAAGCATGCCGAGCTTACCCTCTCACCCCCTCCTGGACTAAAACTAAATGATCCGCCTTCTTTGTACGGTTGTACAGATGAATCACAACCATTCCAGAGTTTCACATCGACAAGTCCATGAATCGCAGCAAGGATCTTTCCGCAATTGGAGAACAGCAATAAAGAGTTGCCTCCCTTCTGGCTATTGTTGATGCACAAATTTCGGACATGCATCAACCCTGAAGCATCAGTCGTCGGGTTACCAAAATCTGAAGATTGTGGCAGTTCTAGAACCTCGACACCCTTCTCATTCGCCACCAGAAAATGCGAACTATTGCTTGGATTCATTTGCAACACACAACCATCCTTTCGACCACTCCCTCCAACATCGTAACATACACGCTCGACAACTTTCCAAGCAAGGATAGATTCCGTTCCTCTGACAGATTTCTGAGATCTCCAGATAACAGCGTTTCCGTCTTGAGTGAAGCAAACCACGTACGGAACGACCTTCCCTTTGCCGTTGGGCACATCCCTGAAGCAATCTGACCGCACATGTTGAGTTCGAGCCATAGGTGATTGGTGAATCAGAACAGCCACAAGAGACCAACATTCGAATCTCCTCTTGCAAGATTGCACGCCTGAATTGAACTTCTCTTTCACACTTGCGACTTCTGACGCAGCAGAGCCATCGCATGGGACAAACTGGGCAGATCCCTCAAAGATAACCTTATCCTCATCGTCAAGAGGCAACGCCCAGATGCTGACGCAGCAGTCCAACGAAGCTGCTGTAAAGTGGATACTTGCGTCTCCGATCCTAAACGACGTAGATGACAGATCTATAACAAGCAGGAGTGAGCTAACATCGAGAAGCAATGAGAAGTAGGAAAGGAGGCAACGCACAGAGAAGGGGGGTGGGGGATTATCAAGGAAATTGCACGCGAATGGGAGAAAAATCTCGATCCAGGGATCAACAAGAAGAATAACAGCCATGAAAAGAGAAGGATTAGAGGTTGGGGAAAGATGGGATACTTTAAGGCACCTTTTTGCGATGTCCTCCTAGAATTTCCTTGAGTGCCCAAGGACTCTGGCTCTTCAATTTCTTCTCCCAGATCGAAATCCTCCCCATAAATTCGGATCCGATCAAGACATGAATGATCTCTTCCTTCTGCCTGTTGCTGAATGCCACCACGGCGCAAGACGATGCAAGCTCAATCAGTTCCGGAGTGTTCATCGATATCGAACTGTCGAAACGCAGACTCGGTCCGTCTGATAGAGTTGGGGTAGCTGCATACTCCCAAATCTCTGCACTCCCCAGATTGTAAGCAATCAACAAGTAATTACCGCACTCTGACACGTTCATGCATCGCACCGACCTTGTACGGAGATCTACATTCGACACCCAAACATCTGATTGGCCCTGGCGGGACCACTGCTGCTGATGCCCAGGAAGTGGCTGCATAGGGGATGGGGCATTGCGCGCGTTGAACGGTGCAGAACCTTGCTGCTTCTCAATGGAATCCTTATGTACATTAGACCCGTTAATTTCCTTGCTTCGTTCAAGGAAATGTTTGGCAAAGGGCCCGTAATCATACGAGTCCAATGCAAGGCGGTTTGAAGAAGGCCTCTGGCTTGCTTCTTCTTGTTCCAGTTCTTGCCAGTCATGGCTGAACATCCTCCTTGATGCAAAATCCCTTACAGCAGGCAGTAAGCAACATGTTGGATTTCAACACATACAGCGACAGATCAGGATGTTTCAATTCTTCCTGCAGCAAACAGGACAACACACGGAATCTTTTAGGAAGAGAAGTTTTCTCACAACCATCCCGGGGCTTGTGAAGAGACGAATCAGCAGTTAAAAGACGAAACAGGATTCTAGGGCCCTACCACTTCTGACGTTGCTGCGATCTCGCTCACAACTGCTCTCTATCATCGACTACTTCATGCAAGATAAGAAAATTCAACCTCGTTCATTCTTGAATTCAGCTATGGTCATCGTCGCCCTTCAACATCTATCGGCATTTCCCGCCTTGCGTTCCTTGGGCCCTTCTTTCATTTTCAACTGCCTTCTCGACTTCCCTGGCATGCTTCTTTGCTTTGCATGCTCTGGAATGCCGCTACTTCACTAAGTAACCTCAATCCTCTGTCAGTCTGTATAAAGCTCCCCCTCCCCTCCTGCTCGTCCTTCGCTCCCCTCAACAGCTCTGCTCCCGCCCAGCATTTCCTAGCCACCAAAGAGCGGGGATGAGGGGTTGACCTTGCGACGGAGACATGGAAACATGGGTGGAGCTAGTGGGGTGGGTTGGGATGACAGCATCGGGAGGGTAGGGTCATTTCATTGACGGGGTAGTCAAGGGTTCAATAACCCGGTGTTCGATATGGGTTGTACGGTATGGTAGGGTACCTTGCTTGAGTAGGGTGATACATTGGGAAGAGGGGGTGGGGTAGGTTCGAAAAATGTTTTTAAAAAGTAACCGGTAGAAAAGCAGGGTATATATAGGGAAAAATTGGGGTGGTCCAAAAACATATTTTTTAAAAGAGGACATGGATCATAGGGTAGGGGTGTGTTGGGGAAATCATTCTTGTTGTGGAGGGTTGAAAATATGGGGTGATATTCGAGGAAAACAGGGGTAGTGAGAGGCTGGAAGCTGAGGCGGTGGGTAGATGGGGGTGATAACTCATCCTGTTTAAAACAATCTGTTTTATGTGTGGTTTTACTATCTTTTAGGGAATAACTTCTACCGAAAAAGTTTTAGATATCCGATCATAAAATAAATATGATGTAGTAAAACCACAACCAAATAATAGGGGTATTTGCAAGGAAATGTGTGGGTAGAGGGTGGACATCACACTTTTAGCAGATTGTCGGGTAAGTGCGGGGAAGAGGGTAAATGTCGATCATGGCCCTCTTGCAAGTAGCTCCCTAGACAGAGGACCGGGAAGGGGGGGGCGGGGTACACCCTCAGGGGGTAGGGGTATGAGGAAATTGGTGGTAGGGGTAGGGTATCTGGAGGGAGTGGGGTGCGGGGGTCGTATCGAGCTTCGACCTGGGTCACATCGAAGTCGGGGTAGAAATGAGAAGGGGGTGGTCAACTTTAAGGGGGTACTGAAGGTGATTGGAAGGGGTAGATTATAGTCGGTAGGTGCAAGGGTGTGCTGAATTGTCACGTTTAGCCTCACGTCACATATCACGTTACCAATCACGAGACCGAATACCGTGCATGCGGCGAGGCGCACACCTCTGGCTGACGCGCGGAGAGGAGGAGAACACGGATCAAATCTCGTCGCTAGCCCTTGCTGTTTGCTGTCGAGGCAGATAGTTCATTGGACTCAGGGCCTCTGGCCTCCCCCAAACAGACTTTCCTGATCAAGGGCTTTTTTCGTCGTGTTTGAGGAAGTAAACTCTATGGCGCACATGAGGAACGCTGCGCAGGCCCGCAATCATTCGCATGCCGACGACAACTCGCTCCTTCAGAAAGCTTCAACGATTGCCAGAGAATTTGCAGCATATCTGGCAGAAAATTGCTCTCCCTTTGATGATCCAGAACTTGAGGAGAAGTATCGACGGAGTGTGTTGTTGTCGATGTTCAGCCTCAACAATATAGGCTGCGTTCTTACTTTGATACTTACAGTCACCTATTACATAGGAGTGCTTTTAGTCAGAATCTTCAACAAGGGAATCAACGACAGTGATGACTACTTTTTTTGATCCGATTGGTATTGGTTTCGATATTATGGGTGGTGCTGTTACTGACTCCAAGAATGAACGAAAATCAGCGGTGTGCACTGGGAAAGGTTCTGAAAGGCATTCTATATGTAAGAACAATGTTTTTCTCTGCTGAGCTTCTACTTGCAGACATGCACATTGAGAGGATGAAAATTGTGTTAATCATAATGACGATGTCTTTCATTGTTTCTTCGCAAAGTTTCAATGAGTACGTTCAGTGCACAGGCTACGTTACCTTGGCGAGTGTGTTATCAAGGGTGGCTTTTCGTCGAAACCCAATGCCATGGACACGAGAAATAGAGAGCATCCTGTTTTCGATCGGTTTGTATGCGATCGGGGTGGTGATATTCGCAATCCTGCAAGCAAACAGCCATTCGCGATTTCTTCGGTATTACACGAGAATGAAGATGCAGAAGGAAGATGAAAAACGAAATGATCGGTCAATTCGTCACGACTTCCAATTTCAATGCTGAATGCCTAGAATTTTTTTGTTTCAATCGTTTCGCCCGATATTTTCGAGCGCCTTAATCTTGCAAATCCAAACTTGAAACATGTACAGACGATTTCTCCATACCATATCACAACTCTATCAAATTATGCATATGGAGACTTCCGTGGGCTTGCCGCTGGATTCTTAGAACTCTGTCTTCTTCAATCTTTTCCTAACATTGTCGGAATAAATCAGAGCTGCAACTTGAACTTCGGCTTCCGAGTCCGACTCTTCACGGTCTGGCATATGATAGACTATTATGGCACCAGCCGTGCAAAGACGGACTGCTAGCGATCAGCAACTGGGCACTGAACTGGGCACGTAATGAGGGTCAGAATGAGGGGGATGATTTCAGTGCTTTGTAATGAGGGTCAGAATGAGGGGGATGACTTGCTTGGTAATGAGGGGGATGATTATTGCCTATTGGGTGATGAGGGTGATGATTTAGCGACGGGTGTGAATGATCATGGGATTTGCACTGCGAATGACAGGTGAGGGGTAGGAGGAGGAAGAGGAAGAGGAAGAGGAAGAGGAAGAGGAAGAGGAAGAGGAAGAGGAAGAGGAAGAGGAAGAGGAAGAGGAAGAGAGGAAGAGGAAGAGGAAGAGGAAGAGGAAGAGGAAGGGGAAGAGGAAGAGGGAGACAGAGACAGAGACAGAGTCAGAGTCAGAGGCAGAGGCAGAGGCAGAGGCAGAGGCAGAGGCAGAGACAGAGAGACAGAGTCAGAAAGAAACCTGAAATCTAGAAAGGAGAAGGGAAGGAGAGCAGAGCAGAGCAGAGCAGAGGAACAGAGATGAAAGAAGAGAAAGATGATGCCAAAATGTGTGAAGAATGAAGAGCAGCAGATGTGAGAGCGGGCGAGGACGGGGGGGGGGCTCAACGAGAGTGGGACTGGGAATGGAAAGCAGGGAGCAAGAAAAGAGCACAAACAGACACAAGAAGTGAGGAGGGTGATAATGGTGGTTGGGGGGGAACGCATGATCGGGAACTAAACGAGATGCAGGGTGCTGGATTCTAGTCCAATCTTTCTGCTCGGTGCATGGGTTCCAGAGTGTTCAGCCCACCCTCCGAACACTGCATGGCAGGCTTCGCGGGAGAGAAGGACTCATCTCCTCTAGATGCATGGCTACTCCTACCCCGTCCAAGTCCAAGTTGCGACTTAAGACTTCGCTGGACATGGAGTTCTACCACATGCCGAGCCGGGAGGGGCAGGGGAACCCTCCAGTTATCTTCTTGCATGGCTCCTTCCATGGCGGCTGGTGCTGGTCCGACTGGATGGATCTGTTTGCCCGACGAGGGTTCGCGTCGTACGCGCCATCGCTGCGAGGAACGTCAGGCAGTCCGCAGAGGGAGGGGGTGAAGTCCGTGCAGCTCTCAGAACACACCGAGGACATCCTGTCCTTCATCGACGCTGTTCTGCCCCCTGACAGCCCTCCCCCCGTGCTCGTCGGGCACAGCTTCGGCGGCATGTACGCTCAGGTATGGGAGTGGAAGGGAGGTTGAGGTTGTGGAGGGGGATGGAAGGGAGCGAGGATCCAGAAGGAAGGAAAGGGCAGAGCTGATGGAAGCTTGGGAAGAGACTGACATGGCATAGAGGTGGTGGTGGTGGTGGTGGAGAGGATGAATCAAAACGAAGAGGAGAAGATGATGATAAAAAGGAGGAGAAGGAGAAAGAGGAGGAGGAGGAGGAGTGGCCAGTGGGGCAAGGGAATGGAGAGGGGAGGGATTTGACCGTTCCCTCAGAAAGTCTTGGAATCGCGTCCGACCAAGTTTCACTCGCTCATCCTCTTGTGCTCTGTGGGACCAGCAGGTTGGTGTCTACAAGAGAGGAAGAAACAGAAAAAGGAGCAGGGTCAAGGTTGGTGGAGCAGCAGCAGCAGCAGCAGCAGCAGCAGCAGCAGCAGCAGCAGCAGCAGCAGCAGCAGCAGCAGCAGCAGCAGCAGCAGCAGCAGCAGCAGCAGCAGCAGCAGCAGCAGCAGCAGCAGGCAGGCAGTGAATGAGCAGCAGGTGGACGTGTGGAGCGCGGGGGTTGTGCTGTATGAGATGCTCTTCGGCAAGAAGCCGTTCGGGCATGAGGCCTCGCCCGACTACATATGGAGACACCGAGATCAGGTGAGGAGGACGAGCAAGAGCACGAGCACGAGCACGAGCACGAGCACGAGCACGAGCACGAGCAAGAGCAAGAGCACGAGCAAGAGCACGAGGACTCACCTGCAGAAAGGAGGCAAGAGAGAAGGGT